ACCAGTGCTGGATTCCCAACACTTTCTTTAGCTCATTTTACAGAGAAACAGACCAGACATCTCCCTCAGCAACCACAGCCCCACACACTGCATGACCCCACACAGTGTATGCAGCCCCTCCATTGCCCAACCCAAACCTACCGGTGGCAGCTTCAGGAGTGAGGAGGGGAGCCAGGAGAGAGCTGGAAACTCTTCTCAGCAAGCTGATCCAGGGACAACCCACAGCTGTGCTTGGTGGGGACAGATTCTCCCACAAGCTGTGCTGGGACAAGCATGCAGCAGAGCTCTTTGCTGTGTTTTTCACCCTTTTCCTTGGTGTAGAGGAACATTTTCAGCTTGCCTTGCTATCACAGCTGCTTTTCCCAAGGCTGGCTGGGTTGAATAACTACCCCTCAAGGCACAAAGCAACATACCAGAATCACCAAGGCTTCTTGACTGAATTCAGAGACAGGATCCAAAGGCTCTTCCCCAGCTGGGCCCGTGTGAGCAGAAGTGCCAAGTGATGGAGACATGACAGCTGCTGAAAAAGAAGGACATTTCCAGGATGAGCTCAAGGCTTCACGTCATTCAACTGGGAAAGAAGAACTAGCAACTTAAAAAAAAAAACCAACACAAAAAACTAACCACAACTAAAATTAATTTTAAAATCATCATTTAACTGCTCTTATTGCAGCACTCCTTGGCTGTTTTTCAGAACCTTCCTCTCAAATAAATGAAAACCAGGCTGAGGGCTGGGCCCTCTGCCCGAGCGTGCAGCAGTGCAGGTCAGGTTCCCTGCCTGGATGCTCACCAGGCTGCCATGCCCAGCTCTGACCACTTCCAGCTTTCGAGCATTTTGTGGCCTCCCGGGCCATGCAGGCTGTGGACTCCGTGGTCCTTGCAGCACATTCCCTACGTATGGGCTCCCTGTGTTGCCACCTCATGGATGTGGGACTGCTCAGCTTCTTCCCCTTGTCCTACCATCCCATTCAGACCTGCTTGAGCTGGACTCAAGAGCCCTACTATGGCCATCCCTGGGGAGCCAACACAAAGCAGGACAACTACCTGTTTTTCCAAGCTTGGAGCAGCTCTGGCAGCTGAGCCCACATTCCCCAAGGCCCCAGGCTCCATTCCACAGGTTGGATGGATGGGGATCCCCCAGGGCACGTAGGAAGCAGAGGCACATCCACCTTGGATGTGGACGTGCAGTGAGATGCTGTGCTGAGAAACCCTCTGCTGTGCTCACATCTCTCTTGTTTGGCATCAAATATTTTCTGCTGGCTTTGACAGCCCTGTAATATTTTTTTTTCCCCTGGTGTCGAGGTGGATGAATCATCTTTTTGGCTTTAACCCTGGAGTGTCAGCCAGAATCATCAATCCCTCTGAACTCAAGAACAGGACAGCTTTTCCCACAACAACATCCATGGATAGAGCTCTCACCTGTGTAATAACCCAGGGTTTTTCTTCAAAAGAAGGGGAATATCTCTCAAAGCCTGCAAAATCCATATAATTCAATCAGGGAATCACTTCAAGGGCTGGAAGCTTCTTTTGAAAATGAGATGTCTGTATTCAGCACTGAACTGTTCTATTTCAGCATGACAATTGTTATTTCAGATTCTTTTCTTTCAATAAATGAGAACACAGAAGAGAATTCAGGCCATCAGCCCAGGCTTGTAACAATGTAGGGGTTTTCTTGGCTTTTCCAAAGGTGCTCATTGCCACATTCTGAGATATTGGCAGGATAAATCTTTAAGTCACGGAAATGACAAGTTTCATGACACACACATTTTATTCCAAACCCTCGCCAACAAAATGAAACACAGGAAAGAGCCAGGACTTTCATCCAGCTCCTTAATTACCATCTGGAGCCTGGCAGCTGAAACAAGATCAAACTTCTGCATTTTAAAAAAAAAAAAGTAAATGAAAAAAAATGCTATGACAGTGGGGAAAGAGATGAGACAATCATGATCCATCCCACCAGGGGCTCCACATCTCCTGCTTGCTCTGGAGAGCACAGAGCAGGGCTGTGCAGCACATCAGTTGTAGAGCCACAGACTGGTTTGGGTGAGAAGGGACTTTAAAGATCCTCTAGATCCAACCCCCTGCATGGGCAGGGACACCTCCCACCAGCCCAGGCTGCTCCGAGCCCCATCCAACCTGCCCTTCAACACTGCCAGGGATGGGGCAGCCACAGCTTCCCTGGGCAACCTGGGCCAGGGTCTCGCCACCCTCACACTCAAGAATTTCTTCCTCATGTCTCACCTAAATCTCCCTCTTCCAGTTTTAATCCATTCCCTATTGTTGTCCTGACAAGACTCCCAATACAAGCCCTTATCAAAAGCCCCTTCCCAGCTTCCCTGCCAATAATGTGTGTCCCACCACACCAGAAGGAGCAAAACCACCTCTATTTTAGTTCTCACAAGCTTTTTGAGACAGGGTCCTTATTTTCAGTATCTCAACAGCACCAAGCAGAAATTCTTACTCACAATGAGCAGAACAGGGACAGACTCTCTCAGTCTGGGTGTTGTGGGACCACTCTCTCATACCCTGGAGCTTGCTTTCAAAATTCCTGAAGGCAACGTGAGGGAAAGCCTGCTGGGAACCATGTCTGGAAAGATGAAAAGATGATTTAGCACAGAGCTGAACCACAGCAGAGCACCACAAGCAGGACATGCCAAGGGTAATTTGCACACAACAGATGTAAAATGCAAACTAACATCCTATGTGTGTTAGAAGAGCCTGTTTCATGAGGCTGAAAAGAGTTCTGAGCCAAGTCATGTGGCAGGAACAGCATAAGCAGAAAACAGCTTCTAACTATAAGCATTTTAACAACAATTTATGCAAGATCAGTGAGAATTCTACAATCTGGGTATCACTATCAAAGCTATGCTGGTTCAAATATCTGCCCAGCCTAGGAGAGAAGGGAAAAGTACAGTTAAAAAAGCCAACAAATTGAGAAAACCTCAGCAACCTCTATCAGAAGCCAGAAAATGGTGAGAAAGGAGGCCTGAGGAAAAAAAAGCCTGGTCATCAGAATAAGGAGGAAGTGATTTTGAATCCACTGGGAATGTAAAGAGCCTTAGCAAGGCATGGATAAGCCTTTTGCTAAAATAAAGTTTGCAGTCATACTGGAGACAAAGCAGCTGAGGTCAGTAAATATTTTGGAGCTGCACTTGGGAAAAAGACAGCAGACAGCACAAGATGATGAAATACTCTCCATTTCAACAAGTAACATGGAAATGCAGTGAACTGGTAATGAAAAAGCAAAATATTTTAAAATTATGAGGTAATGTGCATTTAAGAATTTTAAAGGGGCTGGCCAAAAAAAACACAACACCTTAATAAATTACCAATTGGCTTATTAATTTTGCTTTTTTCTTGGTCTTGAAATATTGCCTAGATCCCACAGGGTCTGGATGTTGTGCCACTGTTTTAATACTTCATAACTACAGACTCATCAGTCTGATTTTGATCTCCAACAAATAATGGCTGATACAAAATGGCTGGTGAATGAGCACGTAGTGGGGGATGCAACCTGTGGCAGTGAAGTAGGATTTGCTGAAAACTGATGCCACTGGACTAAAGCAGGTCCTGCTTTAACTCAGCGTCATGTTGGATAACAATATTCTTGCCAACCTCATTGCTGCCCAGTAGATGCTTGAGTCAGTAAAGTGGCTACAGGGCTACAGGGCTACAGGGCTACAGGGCTACAGGG